ACACTATAAAACCTCATAACAAAAAGACAAATAACCCAATTAAAAAATGGGCAAAGGATATGAACAGGCACTTCACCAAAGAAGACATTCAGGCACCTAACAGCCACGTGAAGAAATGCTCATGATCATTAGCCATTAGAGAAATGTAAATCGAAACTACAATGACATACCATCTCACCCCAACAAGGCTAGCATTAATCCAGAAAACACAAAATAGTAAATGTCAGAGAGGTTGTGAAGAGACTGGAACACTTATACACTGTTGGCGGGAATGTAAAATGGTACAACCACTTTGGAAATCGATTTGGAGCTTTCTTAAAAAGCTAGAAATAGAAATACCATATGATCCAGGAATCCCACTCCTTACACTATATCCTAAAGAAATAACAGCCCTCACAGGAATAGATATATGCACACCCATGTTTATTGCAGTACTGTTCACAATAGTAAAAGATGGAAACAACCTAGGTGTCCATCAACAGATGAATGGATAAACAAATTATGGTATATTCACACAATGGAATACTACACAAAGATAAAGAACAACGATGAATCCGTGAAACATAACATGGAGGAATCTGAAAGGCATTATGCTGAGTGAATTTAATCAGTGACAAAAGGACAAATATTGTATAACACCACTATTACAAGAACTCAAGAAAAGGTTTAAACACAGAAGAAAACATTCTTGGATGGTTACGAGGGTGAGGGGGGGGGAGGGAGAGGGTTATTCACTAACTAGATAGTAGGCAACAATTATCTTAGGTGAAGGGAAGGACAGCACACACTATAGGGGAGTCAGCACCACTGGACTAAACCAAAGCTAAGAACTTTCCTGAATACAATCAAACACTTCGAGGGACAGAGCAGCAGGGACAAGGGTCTGGAGACCATGCTTTCCGAGGACATCTAGGTCAACTGGCATAACAAGGTTTATTAAGAAAATGTTCGGCATCCCACTTTGGTGAGTGGCGTCTGGGGTCTTAAAAGCTAGTGAGTGGACATCCAAGGTACATCAATTGGTCCCAACCTATCTGGAGTAAAGGAAGACGAAGAACACCAAAGTCACAAGGAAAGTATTAGCCCAAGAGACAGTAAGGGCCACAGAAACCAGAGACTTCATCAGGCTGAGACCAGAAGAACTATATGGTGCCGGGCTACCACCAATGACCGCCCTGACAGGGAACACCACAGAGAGTCCCTGACGAAGCAGGAGAAAAGTGGGGTGAAGAACTCAAGTTGTACTAAAAAGATCAGACTTAACGGTCTGACTGAGACTGGAGGAACCCCAGAAAGCATGGCCCCCGGGACTCTCTGTCAACCCAGAACTAAAACCAATCCCGAGGCCAACTCTTCAGACAAAGATTAGACTGGACTATATGGGACATAAAATGATAGTCATGAAGAGTGTGCTTCTTAGCTAAAGTAGATACATGAGACTAAATGGGCAGCCCCTGTCCAGAGGTGAGATGAGAAGGCAGAGAGGGTCATGAGCTGTTTGAATGGACACAGGAAATAGGGGTCGAAAGGCGGAATGTGCTGTCACAGTATAGGGAGAGCAATTAGGGTCACATACAACGTATGTATACATTTTTGAATGAGAGACTAACTTGAATTGTAAAGTTTCACGTAAAGTACAACAATAAAAAAACAGTTAAACTTCAGGACCCTTCACTTACTTGGTCCCTCGTAGGGGCTAAGGGTTGACGGGAGCTGTAGTGTGTTCGAAGGGGAGAGGGGAAGCCAGGTTGCAATCCTTTTCTACATAAGCATTTCCAGTGAAATTGTTTTTGTTTCTAATAATAAAGAGATCTCCAAGGCCCAGTAATTTGCCCTACTTTTCTTCATCCTAAATATTCACTTTCATACCTTCGTTTTTTCTTAAAATTCTTAAGCCTATCCAAATTTGTATACGTTTCAGAACCCACTAAACATGGATCCACCGCGACCACAGTGATATGTCTCTAAAGCAACTAAGCCTGCCTGTGTCATTTTAGCATAAACCGGTGCTGCAGGTAATTACAATTTCAGATTTTTGTCTTCCTTTTGAATCTCTGATATATGGTCTCCGAGGTGCTCGGGACTGGTTATTTAGGGCAAGTGAACTCGTTTTTGGCGCAGTGAGGAGACTGGTTTACGTTCCGCAGCTGCCTGAGGCGAGGAGAACTGGGTGGGAAGGGAGAGTCAGAGAGGAAGAAAGCTACAGCTTAGGGGGCGGGAGGTGGGCGGTTTTAGGAACTGAAGCAGCCAGAGTTCCCGCCTCCTCCTACCTGAGCAGATCTTGGCTGAGCTGCTCCGACACCATCACCTTCAGCCGGCGCCGCTCATAGGGCCCCTTCCTTTGCAACCCCTTATTGCAAACTCCAGGGGACCCCAGAATAACCACCGGGGCCGCGCTGCCCTCCCCACAGCGGGCCATGTTCCACGAGGTACAGCCGAGTCCCGCAGGCCCAGTACTCCTCTCCACTTCCCGGCACTGGAAGGAGAAGAGGGCGTTTCCGACCAAACGCTCTGGTCCTACCGGAATCCGCCCCCTAAAGGAAAGGCAGTCTCCTCTCGTATGTTTGTAGACGGTCCCTTACAACAGTCGGACCTCAGTCCCCGGAAATCTCTGAGGCCCTGGACCGCGCCGGCACGTGACCCAGTAGGGGTTTGCGCAGGCGTAATAGTTCTGTTTACCTCTGCTTACGGACCGCCAGGCCACCAGCCCGACCCCGTTGCCCTAGGAGCCTACATTCCCCTGGGCCAAGCCAGTCCCGCCTTCTCGTGTTAGCTTTTATTCTTCGTTGTTTTCCTGTTGGAACTAACCATTCATTTTAGTAGACTATTTTTGAGGCCCGAATTCAAATCAACCCATGCAGCCTTTCTACACTATGTCTTCCTGGGATGTATGCGCTTTTTTTTTTTTTTTTTGGAAAGACTAGTTCATAAGACCTTTCCAGCAGCGATTAGCACGCCCTCACTTACTTGCTTCTCTACCCTTGGGCAAGGAAAACAGAGACCGGGTGGGGAGGGAGCACGATCCCGAGAGTCCCCTACAAAGGGTATATATGCCATCTAGAAGACCTCATCCTCTTCTTACTCAATTAGTGGCTCATATAACCGCTCTTGGACTTCAGCTGAGGAAGATCAGATTACATTCCAGTATTTTGAATATAAAGCCATAAAATTTATGACAAGGGAGAAGGAGGTAAGGTTGGGGGAGCAGAACCACTGATGGAGCAGGGAAGTAGGTGGATTGATGAGCTATAAAATTTTGAGTATTTTGGACTGAGGAAAATAGCTGGATAAGACATCATTTAAAAGCCTATTGGTCTTTTTTATTTGATTACCTCCTCCAAAGGAAGAAAGCTCAATTCTGTTTCATTCACAAGCTCTCTACAAGGTAGACCAAAAAAACCCATTGCCAGTGAGTTGATTCTGACTCATAGCGACCCTACAGGACAGAGTAGAACTTCCCCATAGGGTTTCCAAGGAGCAGCTGGTGGATTGAACTGCTGACTTTTTGGTTAACAGCCATAGCTCTTAACCACTGTGCCCCCAGACCTCCAAAAGCATTAAACCCCCCGTAAGATAAAATACTTAGGAATAAATCTAACCAAGGACATAGAAGACTGGTACAAAGAAAACTACAAAACACAACTGCAAGAAACCAAAGGAGACCTACCTAAATGGAAAAACATCCCATGCTCATGGATAGGAAGACTCAACATTGTGAAAATGTCAGTACTACCCAAAGGGATCTACAGATACAATGCAACCCTTATCCAAATTCCAGCAACATTCTTTACTGAGATGGAAAAACTAATCACCAACTTTAAATGGAAAAGAAAGAGGCCCCAGATAAGTAAAGCACTATTGAAGAAGACCAAAGTAGGAGGCCTCATAATGCTTAATCTCAGAACATGACTTTACAGCCATGGTAGTCATAACAGCCTGGTACTGGTATAACAACAGACACATAGACCAATGGAACAAAATTGAGAACCCAGATGTAAATCCATCCACCTATGGTCAGCTGATCTTTGACAAAGGACTAAAGACTATTAAATGGGGAAGAGACAGTCTCTTCAACAAATAGTGTTGGCAAAACTGGATGTCCATCTGTGTCATGGATTGAATTACATCCCCTCAAAAATGTGTGTATCAGTTTGGCTGGGCTATGATTCTCAGTATTGCGTGGTTGTCCTCCATTTTGTGATTGTAATTTTACCTTGAAGATTAGAGTGGGATTGTAACACCCTTATCCAGGTCACATCCCTGATCTAATGTAAAGGGAGTTTCCCTGGGTTGTGGCCTGTACTACCTTTTATCTCTCAAGAGATAAAAAGGAAAGGGAAGTGAGCAAAGAGGGGGGACCTCATATCGCCAAGAAAGCAGTGCTGGAGCAGGGTCGTTTGGACCCAGGGTCCCTGCATCGAGAAGCTTCTAGTCTGGGGAAAGATTGATAAGAAGGCCGACAGAGAGAGAAAGCCTTCCCCTGGGGCTAACTCCCTGAATTTGGACTTTTAGCCTACTTTACTGTGAGGAAATAAACTTCACTTTGTTAAAGCCATCCAGTTGTGATATTTCTGTTATAGCAGCACTAGATGACTAACACAATCTGTAAAAAAATGAAACAGGACCCACACCTCACACCACACATGAAAACTAACTCAAATTGAATCAAAGACCTAAATATAAAACCTAAAACTGTAAAGATCGTGGAGAAAAAAATAGAGACGATGCTAGGGGCCCTAATATATGGTATAAATAGAATACTGAACATAACTAAAAGTGCACACACAGCACAAGATGTAGATAAATGGGCCCTCCTAAAATTAAACACTTATGCTCAACAAAAGACTTCTCCAAAAGAGTCAAAAGAGAACTTACAGACTGGGGAAAAAGAATTTGGCTACGACATGTCAGACAAAGGACTAATCTCTAGAATTTATAGAAAACTTCAACATCTCAACAATAAAAAGACAAACAATCCAATTAAAAAATGGACAGAGGGTATGACAGATACTTCACTGAAGAAGACATTCAGGTGGCTAACAAACATGAAGACATGCTCTCAATCGTTACCTATTAGAGAGATGTAAATAAAAACTATAATGAGATACTATCTTACCCCAACATTACTGGCACTTATTTAAAAAAAAAATAAAACAGAAAATAACAAATGTTGGCGAGGTTGTGGGGAGACTCTTACACACTGTTGGTGGGAATAGTACAACCATTTTGGAAAATGGTATGGCACTTCCTCAAAAAGCTAGACATAGAAATACCATATGATCCAGCAATCCCCTCCTAGGTATAGACCATAACGAAATAAGAGCCATGACACAAATAGATATGTTCATTGGAGCATTATTAACAATAGTAAAAAGATGAAAACAACCTAAGTGCCCATCAACAGATGAGTGGATTAATAAACTGTGGTACATACACACAATGGAATACTACACAACAGTAAAGAATAATGACAAAGTATCTCACAACATGGATGAATTTGGGGACATTATGCTGAATGAAATAAGTCAATCACAAAAAGACAAATATTATATGAGACCACTAATATAAAGTAACAAGAAAAGGTTTATATACAGGAAAAAAAGAAAGAACAGTCTTTGATGGCTACCAGGGACGGGAGGGGGATGGAGGGAAAATTACCAATTTGATAGAAGATACGAGGTAATATTGATGAAGGGAAAGACAACACATAATATGGGGGAAGTCAGCACACACGACCAAGGCAAGAGACGACACTGAGAGGAATGCAAGAATAAAGGGCAACTATGGTGGCATAGTGGTTAAGAGCTCGCCTGCTAACCAAAAGGTCAGCAGTTCAAATCCACCAGCAGCTCCTTGGAAACCCTGTGGGGCAGTTCTACTCTCTCCTAGTCGGAATCGACTCAGTGGCAATGGGTTTGGTTTTTGGTTTGGTATGGTAACTACTGGAGCCCTGGTGGTGCAGTGGTTAAGCGTTTGGCTGCTAACCAAAAGGTCGGCAGTTTGAATCCATCAGCCACTCCTTGAAAACCCTATAGGGCAGTTCTTCTCTGTCCTATAGGGTTGCTATGAGTTGGAATCGACCTGACGGCAACGGGTTTGGTTTGGTTATAATAACTACTATAGCTTAGACAATCCTTAAGCAATAGTATTAACAAACAGTAATTTGCCAATGGACAAATAGGTAGATAGATAAGCCAAGAGGTGTGGGAGGATGTAAGCCAACACACTCACCAGCAGATATGAGTTTGGTGGTGGGTATTTCTACATACATGACTACAAGCACGACTCATATAGAGCACACAAGGGGTATAGTCAGGGAAACCTCTTAGACATAACCAAACAGCTTGCAGATGAAGTTCCTAGCCTAGAAGACAAAGGACCATAGACTCAGGGGACAGCTATGTCAGTCAGCACCACATAGTACATAAAAGACAGTGTTCTGCATCCTACTTTGGTGAGTAGTGTCTGATGTCTTAAAAGCTTGTGAGCGGCCATCTAAGATACAACGATTGGTCTCTTCCTGTCTGGAGCAAAGGAGAGTGAAGAAAACCGAAGATTCAAGGGAGCAATTAATCCAAAGGACCAATGGACCACATGAACCACAGCCTACAGACCCGTAGACCAGAAGTACTAGATGGTGCCCAGCTACTACTACCAACTGCTGTGACTGGGATCACAACAGAGGGTCCTGGACAGAGGAGGAGAAAATTGCAGAACAAAAAACCAAATTCCCAAAAAAGACCAGACTTACCGATATGACAGAGACTGGAGGAACCCCTGAGACTATAGCCCTAAGAGACACCCTTCTGACCTGGAACTGAAGCCATTCCCAGAGACCACCTCCCAGGCAAACAATTAACAAGCACATAAGATAAACAATATCACCCAAGAGGAACATACTCCGTAAAACAATCAATTATACGAGATCAAAAGGACCAAAAGGGCATTATATGCCCAAAAGCAAAGATGAGCAGGCAGGAAGGGGTAGAAAATCAGGAGGAAAGAAAATGGGGAATCTCGGGAGGAAATGAGGAGAGTGCTGACACATTGTGAGGGATGAAACCAAGGTCATTAAACACTTTATGTACAAACTATCAAATGGGAAATTAATTTGCTCTGTAAAATTTCACCTAATGCACAATTTTAAAAAAAGCATTATAAAAACATCATAACAACGTAAAAGCATTGTAGAAGCATACATAATAGTGACTTACACATGTGTTTTAAGAACATAACAGAATCAGATGCGATCTGAGAGCATACAGAAAGCATACATAACACATCTTTTAAAAAACAAAACGAAGAAGTTTGTCATTGATGCTTCACATTCCACCATTAGACATTTTTTACTTAGAGGGTTATCTCTATTATAATTACTACATTGCTATGGTCATTTACCCCTTAGGGTGAATGAGGTTATCATATTTTTTTCCTAAAAGAGGAAAAGAGAGTCCTGAGGAACTAATAATGGTGGCTCTGAAGGTAAATGT